TGACCTAAATTAAACCCTAATCCTTCCCAGATTCTTACCCTAACCCTATCCTAACTTGGGCCAAATAATTCAAGGTATAAGACGAGAAGATATATTATAGACCTTCTAAATTCATCTTACAATTAAATACTATATCCGATATTAGTCGATTCTTTATATTTAAACACGTGCGTAAATGTACAACTCCATAGCAGAATAGCCAGTTCGGGTATAGAGAGAAGCGACCGTATTTAGTAAAATTTAATAGAAGTGAGACTGCATATAGAAATCAAATTAAACTCGCATTTAAAAATTTCGTACTTTGTGTAACTTAAATTAATTATGATCACATGGCTTTATATAATCAATGAAATTGATTGGTGGAATTCAAAGATCTACGAATGGTCAAGTCTCGCTACGTACTTATTACCAATCATCAAAAAAGAAACAATTAACTTTACCTAGTCACTCCTTTTTTTTACCAAACAAAAATGCCAAGGAAGACTCGTTCTAAAAAAGTTGTCATAGTTTCTGATTCGGAACACTATTCTGACAGCACTGGTATTGATGACGAGAACACTCCTATGCATGAAGTTCAAGTAGTAATTACAAGTGTGCCTAAGGCGCTGAATAAAAAAAAATCGAAAAACGTTCCCTTGTTAGAGAGTAGTGAATCGGAGAATGATAGTGTTACAAAGGTATAAGTGCATCTATTTTAATAATTCATATAAAATGGCGCTTTATTAAAATATCGATACCTAGGACGAAAAAGATTCATATCAACCAGCTTCTAGTGAAGAAGAAAGTGAAGAAAATGAAGAAAGTGAAGAGCTATCTGATTCATCAGATTATTCGAATAAGAGAAAGTTACCACGACGTCATGTGACATCTAAAAAAATTAATTACAGCGAAGAAAAGTATTACAAAAAAGTACATAGAATTTTCGATGATTTTTATGAGGTATTATCATCATCATCGGAAGAAGGATCTCCACCAACAAAACAAAGAAAAGAGAATAATGATGATTCATTACGGTCAAAGAAGCGACCCAAACGAAAATCTGCAAAAAAATCGATTGATTATGACGAAAAGGGCTATTATAAAAAATTTGAGACTGCCCTTAACGCCAAGCTCTATTAAGTAACTGAAAAAAAAAAAAAATAAATAATTTAGGTATTCTAAAATTGCTATTCTGCGTTAAATAGAACTAGTACAACATATATTTCCAAATTATACATAAGGATTGAGATTAGTTTGAGGTTGGAGCTAAATTTTAATTATTTAGGATGGCTTAAATTATAAATATTTATTAACATATAATTTAAGTTGTTTTAAATAATTTAGACAACTAAAAAATTAGACTTTCTTTATGTATGGTCAATACATACAGTATGTTGTAAAAAACAATATACAAATATGATATATACATTTTTTATTAAGCCTCTGTTTCAAAGGTATCAACATTAATTCCAAAAATTTCATTAGCTTTTTTAATAAAATATGTTGGTGATGGTGCATATATTGTTATTGGGTCTGAAAGTATTTTTCCTGTTGGAGTTCTCCAATTCTGTCCTCAGAAAATATTGATAATAAATATAATAAAATGAATTATAAATAAATAATATCAAAAAAATTTTTTTTTTAAAACAAGAAAAAACTTTTAGCAAATACCTTAATCACAAGTTTTCTCAAGTGTAAATACATAGGTTCTGAAGAAAGTTCTTCGTCTGACATTCTTTTTTCGATTGGTCCATATCTCGGATCGCCTAATATTGATGCTATAATTCAAATAATTCAATTTAATAATAATTCAAATTAAATAATGTTTTACAAGAATTGTCTATTAATAAATGAAATTAATGAATTGAATCATTACCTCCTAATACACTTGCACAATGAACTCTCAACTGATGTTTTCTACCAGTTTGGGGATATAATCTTAGTAAAGCGTAATTATCTGTTCCAGCGATCACCTGATAATCTGTCGTAGCAGATTTGGCCTTTTCCATGAGAGGTGATTCGGCATCTTAATAATATCAAAGAAAAAATTTATTATACAAACGACATTTAATGAAGAATGTAGTGTTATAAGTTTACCCGTAATACATGTCACTTTTTCGAAAGGAGGTTTACCACCATAACAAATAGGAATATCTATTTTTTTTTTTGTAATTTCACGTGGAAGAAACTTTGTAACTATCGCCGTATACTACATATTTATTACGACAAAGACATTATTATTGTTCAAACACAATGAAAATATCATGAGAATTAGTCAATAATGATGAAATCTCATCTTACCATCTTTTCCATAGTACTATTTTGAAACATGAACGATAATTTACCGGCAGCCGATCTAGTTCTACCAAGTACCAATGCTCCTGTTGTGTCCTGTATAAAAAAAAAATTAACCATATTACTAATCTTACCTAATAAAAAAAATTTAATGAAATAGGAATGAAGCATTTATACATTGACTTGACACCTTATCCAATCTATGAACCAAGCGTGGCGGCTCAGGATAATCAAACTGTAATGCTAAGTACGCGTAGCTTTAATATGAGCAATAAATAATTTTAGATATTTATAAAATCAACATGAATGAATACCATGTAATAATCCATCGACATGATTATGCGTTTTGATACCTCCTAAATATGAAATTGCGTTTATCATGATTTAAACAAATAATATCAATAAGTGCGGTTAATTAATTTATTACGAAAGCGATTATTACCTTGAGTGGCAAGCCCAGGGGGTTTATTAATTACCAATATTTCATCATCTTGATATAGAATCATTGATCTAATAGATTTAATTTCTTTAGCACTAAATGACTAAGTCAAATAAAAATTAGTATTTGAAAATTTAAAAAAGAATTTTTAATAAAGAAATTATTACCTCGATAGATCTTCTCGTCGGACTTATGATTTTCTTTTCTTGAAACAAATCTGGACTTCTTATAGAAACAATATCACCTACACTAACTTTTCGGGATATGTTTGAACTTTGTTTAGGTTGTATATTGCCATCAGTTATATTTTCATCAATCTCAATGCTTTTTCTCGTTCCTCTTTTCAATTTTACCTTTATTTTATTGGAAAAAAAAAAAATGTATGTATTAATTTGAAAATTCATAAAATGCAAAAACCAATTAGAATTTATCAGATAAGAAAACCTCATTTTTTCGAATTTTTTTTTGTATTACAGAAGTTGGAAGAACAGTTTTAAAATTAAGAAAGCGGTCAAGTCTCATATTAGCTTCGTCTTCATTGACAACATACTCATAGGATTTGAAAAAACTCGTATTTAATGGCGAGTTACAAAAAACATGTAAAGCAGAAGTGGTTGCAAACGATCTATACTTGGCATTAGTATGATTTAAGAATAAAAAACACCGTGAATTAAACCGCAAAAATAACATAGCGATAAAAAGTCCAAATTTTCAAATTTTTGATGGAATTCTCTTTATATCGATATTGCAATAAAAAAGGACAATCATTTGCATTTATTTATACTTTTGATCTTTAGCGATAAATATATCGGTATCAATGATAATAGGCAACTATTTTATATATCATATAGTTTAGAAAAATCAAAACTATGCAAGAATTATTTACTAAGATGACTTGCACTACATGGTGATCCTGGCCGATTTTTTTATTCGCAAAGTTATTGCGAAGCATTTTTTATTGTTAAATCCATCTGAATTCCTCGAAATTTTATTGGCTTCTTATAATAGTCAATCATATGACAAATTTTTAACGAATAGTAGCGTCAGGAAACAAAACTCTTTAAAGTTTTCATCAACGGTTTATTATAACGATTACTTGCTATTTGCAATATATATACAAAAAACTACTTTTTGTAATTAAAAGAAATTGATCAGCCGATTTGAAAAAAATCAACCATTAAGCATAAAATTGGCTTTAGCAGATTATTTTTTCATTATTAGCCAGGATCACTAAATGACAATTAATTTTAGCGACTCTTGGCGGATACTTTTGCCTGAGCACCACGAGCTTGTTGTTTCGAGATTTTAGGTTGTCCGCGAGAAGCTGCTTGTGCAACCTAAATAAGAAAAATAGGTTTAGAAAAAAAACTTGTATATTTAAATCAAAAAAATTTTTTTTTTTGTTTTTTGATAGGATTTATAATCAAGAATAATAAATAACCTTAGCTTTTTCAGCTTTTCTTTTCGATTGTTCTTGTTTTTTTTTCTCTTTAGCTTCACGAAGGGCTTGTGCACGAGCTGCCTCTCTCATTTCAGGTTTCTGGTTACGTTTAGCTTTGATGACTTCCCATGATGCTCCAACAACAGCTCGTTGGTGCTTAACCGTTCGACGAGTACGCTTCTTGGCAATTTCCTCAGTTATACCTTTCTTGTGCATACGACGATATACTTGTGTCCAACTGATTTTACGTGGGTTCAATCGTTGGAGGAATAGGGATTCGGTTTTTGATCCGACGAATCGGAAAATCTAGATTGAATTTGAGTGAATGCAACAAATTTAAATCAATCTAATCCTTTTTTTTTTTGCTTTGCTTTTAACTTTCTCGATGATTTATGATATAATCCATGTGGTCAAGTCTAATGTTTTATTAAATTAATATTTCTCTGAAAAAGAGGATATAATTCTAACCCTATTATCTTGACGGACATAAAGTTTGCCTTTGCCCGGGTAGATCTTATTACTAGAGAAGGAATCACTCTCGATCCTGGTATTTAAAAAAAAAAAAAAACTTTTAATAAGGTTTTTTAAGAATAAAAAGTAATAAAGTTTACCTCATGTTGATGGTCGAGAATTTTGAAAAAAAAGAAGGTCGATTTGAAAATGATATTTGGTTTGACTTATGCAGAAAAAATTGTGTCACGCCTAAATCACGTGACTGAATTGCTTTATAATTGTTCTTAATTTTGCTATAGATATATTGTAATGCTGGTGAAGTTTGCTAAAGTATCGACCTAAATGATAATTAAATATTCAATAAAATTAGATTGAGTTGCAAACCCATGTTCCGGTCCCGTGGTGTAATGGTTATCACTCAGGACTTTGAATCCTGCGATCCGAGTTCGATTCTCGGCGGGACCTGGTGGTGAATTTTATTTTAATATAAATAAAAATTAAACTAAACTAAACCAATCATTTTTTGACATCTACAACAATTTTCTATTTAAAGCATTCTGTCGTAGCTCATATAAAAAGAGCGTTAATATTTCTCGAGTAAGACTTTCGAAATTAGTATATATTGAACTATTGAGATGGTTAAACATACAGTCATCGCTCGTATTTCTGATGGCAAGTGGTTATTTCGATTCTCATTTTGTTCGTCACCTTTTAAAGTACTAAACAGGAAATTTTTGTAATTAGGCCTTCCTTTGGCAGCCTCAGTAGACGATGATCAGGTAAAAGTGGATCCGCTTCTACTTTATATAAAAAAATGGCGTAAAAGCATTTACCTCGTCTGGCGCGAGCTTTTATTTTTTTTTTTCTTAAAAAAAAAAAAAAAGATCAATAAATATTTAAGCAATATTTAGCACTAACTATCATAATATACATCTAGAATGGGGAGGCCGAACTTGCAGATTACAAAAATAAAGCAAAACTTCTTTTCAAAAAAATGAACGAAAACTCTGAAGAGAGATGTTCAATTGAATCAGGAAGTTATTATTTTCAGTATGTAAAATTTTCTTTTATTTCTACTAAAAATTTATGGATTCTTTTTGACACTGAATTTTTATTTTATCTTCAATAAAAGCTACCTTATCCAAAATGGCGTTTGTTACATGACAATTTGCGATCGGTCTTACCCTCGTCAGTTTGCCTTTAGCTACTTGGAAGAACTTGCTAAAGAATTTTCAATGAGTTATGGGAATGAAGTCGAAAAGAAAAATTTAAGACCATATGCTTTTGTTAAATTTGGTACATATAATCTATCCGAGCCTTTTGAAGAATTGAGAATTTACGTGATTTACGTGTTTGGTTTGGAAATCCTGACAATGTTGACCACTAATGCTTATGCGGTATGATCATAATCAGATACCTTTATGCAAAAAACAAAAAAGGTTTATCAAAATACGCGAACGCAACACAACATTGAGCGACTAAATACCGAACTGAATGAGGTAGCCAATATCATGACTAAAAATTTGGAAAGTGTCTTGTGGCGTGGTGAAGGATTAGAAAGTAAGTGTTGTCTATTAATTCAAAAATGAATTATAATTCTTCTGTACTCCTAACTGATTAATTGTTGTTGTTTTCTATAAAAAAAAAATTTCTATGAATTTTCTTATCAATTAAAAGAAATGAGCTCTCTCTCTGATCAACTTCGTTATGAATCCCAGAAATACAAAAAAACTGCTCATGATCTTAATCTACAGCTTCTTTATCGCAAGTACGGACCTATAGCGTTCATAGTATCGGTATTTTCTTTGGTAATCTACTGGCGATTCTTTTGGTATTAGATCAACACGCAAACGACTCTCTTTATACCGAAACCGAACTAAGTGTTAATAACTTATACAGTATTTATTACATAATAAATTTGCTATATCACGTTCGAGCCTAATTGAACCAGTACACATAGCCCATCATATATTTACATCTATTTTTATATAACAAACATTCACATAGATAAACGATTAAAATCTATTTACACATAGGGTTGTTACCGTCGGTGACTTTCTTATCCTTTCGGTTTTTAGCTAATAAATTATATAACGATAAAGCTTAATGTTACGACTTATTAATAATAAGAATTGGAAAACAAATATTTGATAATTTTTTAAGTTTTAACTTTAAATATACAAAATTAAAGTTATAAATTTAAAGTAGGGTTTTTTAAATCAAATCTTATATTTATTTCAATTTGATCAAATAAAATTAATTTTTTAAATTTATTTGAATTGAAAATTTTGCATTTAAATTTAGGGTGTATGTACACAGGCAATATAAAATCAGCTAATATCCCAAAATTTCGATTATGAAACCTCTTATTGGCTTCTAACAAAAAAAATTTCTTGCAAAATTTTGGTATAAACTACCTTACTTTTAAAAATTGAGATTGGCATGTTACACAAATTTGCAAATCACAGAATTAATAAAATTAATACCATGTACTATACATCTTAGTGTATAATTAGTAATATTTTTAAATTTATTTGATTTAATATTTGATTTAAAATTTTTTAAATTTTAAAATTGAGTTGTTTTTAAAATTTTAATTTATATAAAATTTTAATAAATTAAGCAATTTTATATATTAAATAAAAAATGTTTGAGTTGAAATATTTTTGGTTTTTATAAAATAAAAAATAAATAATTTTAATAAAATTTAAAAAAAATAATTTTTTTTTCTTTTAACAAACTACACATTAACTTTATTAAATAGATTTTGTACTAGACAAGATTTACTATTAATGGCATGTTAAGTATATAGATGATTCATATTTGGTTATTACACTAATATTTGCTACTTATACTTATATGTTGCTACATATATTTAAAATATAAATATAGCATAGTACAGTCAAACCTTCATAAATGCAACTTGTAGGGACAAGCCTACAATGTATATTTAGGGAGGTTTGTATTTAGAGAGAGCCAATTAAATTGCAGCTTTAAAAATTAAATCATCAAATTTGTGTAATTTTTACCAAAAACTATATAATCGATTTTAAATACTAAAATTGATTGGCTATATGCATTTAGGAAGGTTAGTATGATATAAAATATATTTAAAAGAACATGTATTTACAGAATATAGAATGTATATTTGGCACTAATAACATTGTTACAAGCAACTATAGTTTTTAATATAGTATTTGCAACACAACACATAGTTACAAGAATCTTTTAAGAGTCAGAGAAAATATGAAGTGGTATGCAAGTGGAATATTACTTCACTAGAGTGGTTTGTTAAATATTTATTAGAGGACAAGAGAATATTTATTAGACAAAGATATATTTTTATTATGCTTGATATAATATTTAGAAGATAAAACTATTCCTAAATATTAAAGGAAGGAGGAGAAAGGAGTCTGAGTCTACTGTACAGGAGAGTAGAAAACTAAGGTTTATATATATATATATATATATTTTTTTTTTTTTTTGTGTTAAAGTTCCCACTTTGGGTGAGAGTTTATTTAATCAAGCCTGTGGATCAAGGGCGCCTTTTTGGGCGCACCCACAATTGAGTTACATTGAATGAGAGTACAACTAGCCACACGTACAACTTTTGGTTGTCTAATTTAAGTAGTCCGCCCGAAGGTTCTACACTAGTTGCCATACCTACAACCCAACTAGGGGATTGCCTATTTAAACCCTCTGGTCCAA